TCGGGAGGTTAACTGGCTTACTGGTCTGCTTGCCACTTAACTCCTCCGGCAGCCAGCCATGCCGGGCTGGCGCAGGGCTGGGTGGCGGGACCTAAGTGAAAAGGGTTCCGTGGTTCGGCACGCTCCCTTAACTGGTTAACCGTTTCAACGCCCCGGGGCTGCATGTGCCAAGCAGCCCTCTGCAGAAAGCTAAGGCCTGCCTGTGCTGAGCAGCTCCCGCGGCGGACGGTGGGGGGAAGGAGCAGGGCTGCAGGAAACGCCTAGGCTCCGGTCCTAGCTCTAGGAGAGGAACCAGGGACACGGAGAGGAGAAAGTCACTGGGCCGCCGAGAGCAGACTGCAGAACACCCACAGGATGCACCCACTGGACCATACTGCCTCTAGGCTCGCTGGACTGAACTCGAGGCTTTTCTGCTGCTGGCAGGCAAGTGGTCACCTGCACAGGATTGCAAAGCGGGTGCTACATGTGCTTCTTCCCATTAAGCAAGGCCTGTGTGTTCCCTTCTCTTGGCCTGCTCCCCTTGCCCTGGAGGCTGCGTTTCAGAGGCTGGGCCAAGTGTCTGCCTTCCTCGTAGCCAGGGACCGGCCATGAGGCTGGCCCGAGCTTTCCAGAAGGCCTGCACTGACTGCAGAGGAAATCCCGTCAGTGATTGCTCTGGAGAAGCGACGGCTGAGAAGCAGTGAGTGGCGCCGCCATGGTCTGTGTGTGGGCAGGCGTGTACCCTTGCGCCCAGCCTCCTTCCAGCAGTGGCTGGTGGTGGGAGGGCACCTCCCCCGGGGGTCTGACGTGTGTGGGACTTCCCCAGAGCCTGTGAGCAGGAGCCCGGGGGGCTCCGGGGCTGCCCCTGGGGCTGTATGTGCATCCACGTGCACGCGCCACAACGCGAGGGCCAGGCCGAGAAGGCTGAGCGACGATCGCACCTCAGCGCCCACCCTGTGTGTGTGAAAAACTAAGAGCTCTCCTCTGAGGGTCCTTCCCTGGCCTCGGCGGGTGCCCGGGAGACATCCAGGCCCTGGCGTACCGGCTCCAGGCTGAGGGCGACGGTGCTGGCCGTCTCTTCCTTCTCCTCCAGCTGACCATCATCATCCTCCTCCTCGTCTAGAGCCCCCGGGTGGGTGACGACAGGCGTCTCCAGCTCCGAGTCCACGACCAGGGGTGGGGAAGGGGTTGCCCTGGCCCCCAGGATGCGGCGGAGCTTGTTGAAGTAGGGGCAGAGGTGGCGTTCCCCCCCCGCCCCGGAATGAGAGCAGTGCTCCCTGGCCCTGGCATAGCCCTGCCAGAGCTCCTTCACCTTGCTCCGGATCTGCTCAAGGCTCCTGGGGTGGCAGCCCCTCGTGGCCAGGGCCTCGGCCGTCCGGCTGTAGATGTCAGCGTTCCTTCTTCTGGAGCGGAGACCCAGGACCTCTTTGCCCTAGACCTCCAGGAGGGCCAGGTTCTCCACCCCAGACCAGGACGGCGCTCCTCTTTTGGCACCCTGGGCGTGCTCCGGGGGAGGCTTGAGGCTGGGCTCTGGGTGCTGAGCAGCGTGGCAGTGTGAGCTGCGCGATGAGGTGCGGCTCCCAGGGCCGGCTTTAAGAGCTGCCGGGAGACAGGCGCTGGAGAGCTGTGATGTGTGGATGGAGCGGCCAGCAGGGCGCCTGTGTTACTGCCTGGGGGCCTCTTCTTTCGCCAGGACTCCCTCTTCCACGCCCACGCGCCATGATCCGAAAGAGCTCTCGGGAAAGGCGTCACTGCTCGTAGAAAGAGGGTTCCTGCTGTGGGGAAACCCCTCCGGGTGGGGCGGGGCAGGGAGCCTACAGCTAAGGCTAGGCTGGGCCACACTCACTAGGAGGGAGGGATCACCTGAGTACCAGGAGCCTGATGGGCTACAGCAGGGCCCCTGCCAGCCATGCAGAGGGCACAGCCAGTTCCCAGGTGCCTTTGTGCCAAGCCCTACCACGAGCCCTATGGAAATAGCGATTCCTACCCCCAGTTTGTAGCGTAAACAGCCTCAGGCTGTTCCATGGCAGGGCTCCCGCTACCCCAGCAGGGGCAGGTTTATAGTGAGGGGCAGGCTGGGGGGAGGTACGGTGCAGGAGGGGCTGTAGGAGCAGGCTGGGGGGAGGTAGGGTGCAGGAGGGGCTGCAGGAGCAGGCTGGGGGGAGGTAGGATGCAGGAGGGGCTGCAGGAGCAGGCTGGGGGGGAGGTAGGGTGCAGGAGGGGCTGCAGGAGCAGGCTGGGGGTAGGTGTCTGGCCAGAAGGGGGGGGGCAGGAGCAGCCTGGCCGGGACCCGG